GTTGAGGGACCGCTCAAAAGAGAGAGAAAAGAAAGAAGACAAAGAAAGAAAAGATCGCAAAAGGGTAAGAGAGATAAACATTAAAGTAAAGCACGCGTAAGACTAACCCGATACGTAATTTGTCAGTTGTGGGTTTTTTTGAACCAAATTTGGTGAATCGGTTATATTGGTTATTATGTTGAGATGTTACTTACTGTGCTGAGTAATTTTCTTTCTATTTCTGCTTTTTAACTTGTCTTTCATTCTTGGTATTTGAAGAATTTTAGATTAGTAATAGATGTACATATTCTGTGTCTATTTTGACTGATCAATCAGCTTTATTTGTTTGAATAACATGATACCTGCAAACTATACTTGGAATGAATTTCTTTTTGAAACACCACCTTTGTTATTCTCAATTAGACTTTCTTCTTGTTCTTTCCCAGGATCATTCAAACAGTGATCGAGAGAATATACAAGAATCAAAAAGGCGTAAAGATGAAAATGGGACAGGTTAGTGTTAATATCTAACTTTGTGTCGTTTAAATTCTGAATGCAACTTGACAAATCCAGGGTGCCTGAATGCTGCAGCAGTGGAGGACCAGAAACTACTGTCTCCAACGTTGAAAATGGCTCAGAGTACTGAACAATGAAATAAAAATGGGAACACCTTACCCGGGAGAATTAGAAGACCTGATTGAAGGCATAGTCTAATAATTTTTCTGAAGGTCTTTAAATGGATTGGATGAGAGGGAGTTACTGTGGATAGCTTCTACCAGCTCCCTAGTGGGAGTCCGAGAAATCTTGTTCGTCAAGATTCCTTTTTAAATGATTCATCAGTTTAAAATTTGGATTTGCCCTGATCAAAATGAATCTTGGAGCAATATGAAGTGAGTTTGAATATTGAGTACTAAGATGCGATTAAGCAAATGGCTGGGAGGATTTATTTCATGATATAAAGTTCTGAACTGAAAGGCAGGTCTCACGTCCTTTGAGTAATAACATCAATTGATGTTTCACCCATTTCCATCAACTCCTACATTGAACAGGTGGTAATTACAAATATGAACAGGCAAGTTTACATTAAACTCGTATAGACTTTGTAACCTGTCTCTTGCTCACCTCATCGATTCTTGCTCTTGACCAAGTTTATCTTCTACATGCATGCAAAACAGCATACAGGGGGTTCCACTGTAATGTGATAGTTGCTTTCCAGTGTAACATCGTGTTATGGAAAATTACACTATATAAACAACTGGGCCTGTGGGAAAAGCGGGGTTAGGGGCAGACCACCAAAAAAGCGTAACACAAAGGACAGCATGACTGTCAACAGCTGTTCAGACAGGTTGATCCAACTGTGACAGCGGCTTTGCAACTCCTTCTTGGATTGACACAACTGTCCTTACTATTTCTAAAAAGTGCAGTGCAGTTACCCAGGTGTTCTGGTCAATGCTTAGTCAGCAACACAATGACAGATTGTCTGGTCATTATCACATTGTTGCTTGTGGAAGAGTTTTTTGTGAAAATTAGCTGCTGTATTTTCTACAATGACTGCTGTTCAAAAATACCTCAGTGGCTCTTTGTAACATCCTGAAGTTGTGAAATGTGTAAGCCTTTGTAAGCAAGAAGATCTCGGTTCAAGTCCTGCCTCAGAACTCAATGGCCAAGGAAGGTGCGTTCACAATGTGACTAAAATGATTGAGTATCAGTCAGCAAATTCTTCCAACACTACCAGTAGCAGACTGTAAGATTGGGAGAGATGCCGAGTCAGCCGTGTGACTAAAAGAACTTTGGAGACTCTACAACCACTATCCATAGTTCCAGACTGTGACATATACATAAATGTATATTGCCATAGCAACTCAGACTCCTTCAGCAATCTTATCACCGCACCACAAGGGTATCGAGGGATATGGAGCAAAGGTGGGAAAATCAAGTTGAAACATAAGTCAACCGAGATCTGATTAATTACTTCAGTAGGCTGTTGGAGCTTCCTGTTGTACCCGTGTCCCGTGCCTCAGTGTTTCCTTTCAAGGTAAGTTAGATATACTGTTTTTCACTCTCCCCTATACAGTACTATTCCTGGTAACCAACCTCCTGGCTTCTTACTTTTCAGTTTTAATGAAGGCTGATGGGGAGAATTTCTCTGGGGCTCTCAGAATCACAGCATTGTACGAATACACTGTAGGCATCATTAACAAAGGGCTCCTGATAGCAAGGTGCCTACTCAATGGAATCGTTTTCGAGCCAACACAAGTTCATGTTTTAGAAAAAACGTTCCTCTCTTCGTCAATCATGTTATAGCCAATTTGCGTTGCCAGAACACACATTACAACAGAATCCCCTGCATGTCATGTTCTTAATTTTCAATGATCAGAACTTTTTGGAGGCTTTTTATGGTGGAGTCAAAGAAAGATAGTGCTTCATCACGAGTAAATCACAGGAACTTGCTCTTTGGATATTTGTGACTAATGGTAAAGGAAATGAGAGATTAATATCCAGTATAGAGTTATTAAAAGGTGCAAGTAAGAGCGTAGAACTGGAGGAGATTGCATGGATGGGTAATGAATTTCTAAATGTTTTGAAATTTAGGAACTGTAAGGTTTGGGAGAACTAGCTATAGATCGGAGAAAGCAGAGATAGGGTGCAAGTAGTGAATTATTGGTTAAGTTGTTGTTTATATCTCTGCTTATGCAGTATTGATTCTTGTTGACTAATTCGGTCAATTCTTTCGTCTGTACCTGTGAGGAGGAGGGATGGCTCTCATATCTTTGTCCTCATCAATCTTCTTGGTTACTTCCTCAAAAAACTCAATCAAGTTTAAGAGATATGATTTCCCTTGCACTAAACTGTGCTGACTATCCCTAATAATTCCTTGCTTCTCCAAATGCATATGAATCCTGTCTTTCAGAATCACTTCCAAAATGATTTAGCTTTGTGTGAATGTGAATTATCTCTAGAGATTAGACAGATTAAATTTGTCGCAGATAATGTCATTTCTTGAATAAGATGCCTGCTCATTAGCATTCAGCAATTTGTGCCTCCATTGTTTCTTATTATCCACATTTTGTTTTAATCAGAGCATCAATTTTCTTTTTAAATGAAATGCTATGGACATGTTTTAAGATTTTTTACAACATTTGTCCAGTAGAACTCCTCCCCCACCCCCGGACATTTTTTAAAAACTAGCATTCAAGGAAAAGGGAGTTGAATTGCGCATATGTGTGATTATGATGATTTATGGTATGCAATCTCCTCAAGTGTGGTAACTGATATGTATTGCTATTTCCCAGTTATGTCTAGCAATGAAAAGAAATGCATTGAAATGAAAGAGCTAAATCAGTCGATTAAACTGGTAAATGTCATCACTGTTGTAACGCAACAAGATCTGCTGAGATTTTCCAGCAATTTCTGTTTTTGTTTCAAAACAGCTCTTTTTCAATTACTTGAACTGTAGTGTGCACCTGAAGGAAAAAAATAATCAGTTCATTAACACCTCCAACAGTGCAGTGGTTCATCTGTATTGTATAGCAATTTTGTCCTATGTTGTATGTTCATGTCTTGAGTGGGATTTGAACCCAGAACCTTGTGATTCTTAAGGCATGAATGTTACAACTGAAGCAAGTCTAACATTAGTCTACCTTTTTTTGTAAATTTTGTATTTACTACAAGAGAAATGAGGATTCAATGTTTACTTAACAGGTGGCTCTGGGAAAAGGAGTAAAAGTGCAAGCCCTGCAGATTCCCCACGTTCAAACGAAAAGGAGAAAAATAAGAGTTCAAAATCTAGCTCTGGTAAAGACCGGGATAAAAATGATTCAATCAAGCTAGAAAAAATAGAAAAGAGTTCAACAACAAGCAAGAAGGTATAGTCTTTTAAATATGAATGTATATATCCTTGATAATTGGTTGTAGGATAGGATTAATTTTGCATACTTAATATATTGCCTAAGAAATCTACAAAATCATCTTAAAGTAGCAGATCATTTTTGATCCAATACTAATGTCAAATTATGTATTTTTTTAAATGAACTTCTATTCACGTGTGCTTTTATTGCGCAGTGAACACTTTCCTAAAAAGTGTGTGTTTTGGCAAGAGCCTGCAAAGTTAAGAAAAATAAGATGTTAAAATACATACAGGACTTAACCTTGTTGTCAGTTGCACATGATTAGCTTGGAGCATTGACAGTATTGTCAACTTTTCTGGGGGATTGCTTCGCTTTGTCGTCCAGTGGTGAAGTTAGAAATAGCTGCAATTCTCAGAAATGAAGTAAAAGCAGAAAATGTTGAGAACATACGGTAGATCCACCAATATCTTAAAAAAAAAACTGGTATTTCATTAGATTACTCCCAGTCATGGATGGCCACTTCTTAAACTGTGGTTTATGTCACGCACATAATACGCAAACTAGGGTTGTATCTGATGAAATGTGTCATACAAATTCAATTTATGAAATTCAGCAACGTGTAAACCTTAATTTATTAATTTCTTAATGAATTCATCTGTCAAGTCGATTGGTTTACTGCCTTATTATGGGCCCAATAAGTATTAGAGAGGGGATAAAACTGAAACCTAGTTTGAGTAGTGGGCACAATTTTCACAGATCCTCCTTTGTCTGTTTGTATTTTCCAGATCTGTGTTTTCTGCCCTACTGAGCATTATAATTTAAGCTCCAATTCCTCTAATTTATCAGTTCCAGTTTTATGCACCCTTGCGAATTTGTTCTCAGTCATTCTTCCTACTCCACAGCCATTTGCCAGTCTGGATGTAGATGTGGGATGTTGCTTCATACTGAAAGAGCAACTTTGTTCCACTGCTGCATTGGCAATTTACCTAATTTTCTGGGCATTGCTTCTTGTATTTGCAGTCCATTATAATTTACCTAGAGGTAAGAAGCTTAGGGAAAGTGGGATCTCCTTACACTTCATCCATCATAAAGGAAGTGCTGACATGAGGGAACAGAGCTGGAGCTATTGTGAAATATTATGGATGTACTGAATAATAGGAATAAAGCAGAATAGTAACTTGAAGATGGGTAACTTTGATAATGAGGCAGAAAAGCAATGTTTCAGTAGACGAGCAAGACTTGAAAGAAAGAAGCTGGCAAAAAAAGTGCCCAGGTGGTATTGTTGGACACATTTGTGTGTACAAAATGTTTTTGTCAGTCGTAATATTTTTTGTTTCTCCCTTAGGCAATGCAATTAATGTGACCTAGATCTGTTCAACATGTCTAAAGTTTGTAACTTTTTTTCATTATCATATTTTACAGGAATCTAGACATGATAAAGGAGAGAAAAAAGAGAAGCGTGAGAGTGGAGGTCTGAAAGAAGACAAAAAACAATATCCTTTCATTAATGCTCTGGCAATTGAAATATACTGATTTTTAATAAAAACTAGATTTATGGAAATTTCTACATAGATTAGAATTTGCTATTTTAAATACAGGTGTGGCATGCAGATTTGAATTGTCAAGTAGCTGAATGGGTCATTGATGTTCGCAGAGATAGTAGGAATTGCCGATGCTGGAGAATCTGAGATAACATGGTGTAGAGCTGGATGAACACAGTAGGCCAAGCAGCATCAGAGGAGCAGGAAAGCTGACATTTCAGTTCGAGACCCATTTTCTGAAGAACGGTCTCGACCCGAAACGTCAGCTTTCCTGCTCCTCTGATGCTGCTTGGCCTGCTGTGTTCATCCAGCGCTACATTGATGCTCGCAGTCTGATTTGACCAATTTAGGGCCCTGCACTGGTTTGAAACCAACTTCTGTTTCTGATTGAGATTCTGCCTCAAAATCCACAATACAAAAGCACAATAATTGTGATTTTTCTTAACAATGGTACTCATAAATCATCAGAAAAACATAGATAATAAAGAATGACACAACTCGTGGTAAGTTTGATTCGATTTAAGACTGAAATCAGTTTAATGTAATCTATCAATTCTTATTTTAGCACTTACCTTGGAATTCAGTTCACTTGGAGTTTGCTGTGTTTTTTCCCTGTTTCTTTCTCTTGATGTGCACACAACTTGAAAGCTGTTCGCTAAATTTACCAAACAGAGTGATGACAGGAATTTAGTGAGTTGGGGATTGTAGGGCACATAGCGAGGGAGGTGCTAAGTAATTTAAACTAAGGGAGCAACAGTAAATATATAATCATAATTTAAGATCTAAGAAGATAAATTGAAATTGAATTTCTTGGAGTGTGCTTTCCAATGATAAAGGGATACAATTTGTATTTGTTAAACATATGATAAAATCAGTAATTAAGCAGTTAGAGATGAGCGCAAAATTGAAAACATTTGTAAGTTTGATTAAAACAGTGGGATATCGTAGAATCTGTTGCCTGCAATTTCTGTGCCATGTGGGAATTCTGGAATGCTTCATGTGCCTTAGTGAGACCACATTGTGGAGTATCTTGTTCAGTATTGATCTCATTATTTAAGGAAGAATGTAAATGAATTGGAAGCTTTTTGCACAAGATTTACTGGACTAATACCTGGAAAGGGATAGGTTCCTTTATAAATGCTGTAAATTTCCTGTGGTGAACCTTCCAACTCTAACCTACAATAGCAGAGCTGTGGACAATAGTAAATTGCTAACTATCTAAGAGATAGGAAGAGATAGCCAATGCCACTGGAAGCAGCATTTTCAAATTGGTTTTCAGTATCGAATAATGATGAAGATGCAGAACTCTGCCTAAACACAATATGGAAAATATGGCTTCACAGCAAATGTGTAGAAATGTAGTGGTCATGGGGGAGTCGCAGGCTTTTCTGTACTGTTGAACAGTTTGGCATACAATGTTGCCTCCCTTCTGAAGACAGAATAAATCACCGAATGGTTGCAGAATATTTTATCGTAGATAGTTGAATGGCTATAAATTGTCTTCAGAGTTGGTACCATTACATAGCTTGAAAAATGGTTGAGGTTCGGTGGAAGAGTTGCCTTTAGGCAGGTAAATAGCAAAATGGTCATAAGAAGGATTGGGGATGACTAAGTGGCAAAAAGTCGAGCTCTGCTTAGGGACATGCATAGGGGTAGTGATTCAGCCATTTGAATCTGTTCCACAATTCAATAACCTATCATGGTTGATTTGATTCCTTCACTTTCCTGCCTCCCCTTTTCACAAGCTTGCTTTCAAGAATCTGCTTTAAAAATATTGAAGTACTCTGCTTCCACTGTGTTTTGAGGAAGATAGAGTTCCAAATACACATGGCCCTCCTGTGTGCCTTTGTTAGGAAAGCCCCACACACTGACCAAGTACTGAATTTCAATAGCAACCACCCTAACACACACAAATGGAGTTGCGTGAGAACATTATTTAAATGGGCAACAACACACTGCAGCAGCACAGAACTACGCCAAAAAGAAGAAGAGTACCTCTTCCAAGCATTCAAAGACAACGGATACCCGAAAAACTGGGTCAGAAGGTGCCTATTACATGAACAACACCAGGAAGATAGCACACCCTCCGACACACTCATCATGCTACCTTACATCAGGAACACATCTGAACTGACCACTGGGCATCATAGTAGCACAGAAACTCACATCAATCCTATGCCAACTGCTCACTTGAACCGAAGACCCACTACCCACTATGTACAGGACCAGTGTCATATACAAGATTCCCTGCAAAGACTGCAACAAACATTACATTGGACAAACAGGAAGGAAATTAACCACAAGAGTACACGAACATCAACTGGACCACAAGAGTACACGAACATCAACTGGCAACAAAAAGACGTGTCCAATACTCTTTCATCTCCATCCACGTGGATAAGGAAAACCACCAACTCGATTAGGACCACACCAGGATCCTGGGACAGGTAAAGCAGAGTCAAGCACGGGAATTCCTAGAGGCCTGGTTCTCCACTAAGAAAGCCATCAATGAATGCATAGAGCTAGATCCCATATACGCTCTATTGCGAAGGAAAACTGGAAGTGAGGTAATCCAGCTCAATGTTCACCAGAGTTTAAATGACAGGCGGGAAAACACAACAGCGTTTGATCGGAGGCTGCACTGATGATGTTATCCAGCAGGGTAATGAAACGTCTGCGAAACAACGAACCAGCTTGGCGAGCCAACCAACCACAACATCTACAACCCGAGCTACAAACCTATTCTAAAACCTTAAATATTTAAGAGCAATAAGATAGATGGAAAGGTTGCTTCATAAAGATAGGTTGGATAGCCTGGGCCCATATCTGCTGGAGTTTAGAAGAATAAGAGGCGATTTGATTGAAACATCAAATACGCTGAGGGATCTTGACAAGTTGCATGCGGAGCGGATGATTCCTCTTATGGGAGAATCTAGATCCAACAGTCATTGTTTGAAATTGAGGGATCACCCAGCTCAAGCAGAGATGAAATTTTTTTTCTCCAAGGACCATGAGTTTTTGGAATGTTTTTCCTGAAAAGCTGGTGAAAGCAGAGTCTTTGAATATTTTAAGGCAGGCATGGACAGATTTTTGAGAAGCAAGGTTGTGAAAGATTAACAGAGGTAGGTGAGAGTATGTATTTCAGGTTGCAATCAGATCAGCCATGATCTTATCAAATGGCAGAAGGGAGGTTGAATGGCTTATTTGTGTTCCTTATTTGTATGATTTTTATATTAAACTGGTGGTCAATAAGTGGGACTTCAGAATTTTCGGCACCAATAGCTTTTGCTTACTTCATTGATTTACATAACATATCCCCAGTGCTTCATGGGTAACAGTCATGACCAAGCAAGAAAAGAAGAGACAGTGTTGATACTAGAGGTAGTTCTGGACTGGACTTTTGAAGGTGAAAGGATACATAATAAAGTGGAGGAATTTAGGGAAGGCCCTCCATAATGTGAAGGCAGGATGCTTAAATGTTCTTCTATAAGAAAAAAAAGGGCAAGTCACAGGCTAGAATTGGAAGGAAAGAAGCAAGCTCACCTTAAGACTGGATAATATTCCAGAGGTCAGCTTACTTTAGATGAGACCAGGAATTCTGGAACGGTATGAACAAGGAACTTGGATACATAGATCCAGTGAAGCTTCACAAGACATGTGACAGAAGAATACAACTTTATGTAAGGTGGAATAAAACATTGGAGATGAGTGTGGGCCAGATTTGGCATTTTTGAGATGGAAATATGTAGCCTTTTCTTGAAGGCTTTGCAAAAAGTGGATTTCATAGTACACTGAAATTCATTGAGTAAAGTTAATTACAATTTAAAAGTTTGTCAGCTGTTGTTATAGCATCACTTATAATTGCAGATCAGGATGTGATACCCAAGAGTATCGTGAGTGACTGCCTCTACAGGTTCAATTGACACTAGCAACTCACTGTGTGGCACATTGAATGTGAACACCTAGTTTGCTGTGTTGATATACTGGCACTTGTTTGAATTCCAATCCAAAATTGTAAAGTCATCCAGGAGTATGCACTTGTGATGCTTTTTAATCTTCCAAGTTATGTTTTATCTTTTTACAGGTTCCCTGCCCCTCACCTCACCTTATCCCCATTGGATTACAAGCTGCTGCCATGGATTTACTTGTGCTACTGAATTTTGGATACTTGGACTTCATTTCTAAGGATGGCAAATCACGACAGAGGACCTAACCGAAGCCTATTAAAATATTTTGTTGAATTCTTTTCACTCCATTTCTGTTGGCCATCGTTTAAAAGTTGAGTTGTGTTGTCTTTTAACTTGATGTTTTGTCTGTATGCATGTCATTTTCAGTATAATACTAGCAAGTGGTTTGCTGTTTAATATAAGCACAATGTGCTGTACATAGCAAAACCACAGAGTATATTTTGTAGTCACTTTGAGAACAGACTGGAGTCTGCTGCAGACTGTCTACAACCTTCTGTCTTCACCTTTATGGCAATGAAGATATTTGTATATTATGTATACACTAGTATAGTGATTGTGTGTAATTAAAATCAGCCGTTGTTTAATTTACTGATTAAAACTATCCTGTGCAGCATCTTGTGTTTATTCCATGAATTGCAATTGAATAAAATGAATTGCAAGAATTGTCCTTTAAAAGATTAAATTAGGTTTAAATTGTACAACTACAGGAGATTTCTATTTCCATGAATACCTATGTTTGGTCATAAATTTTCAAGATTGCATTTGAATTTTTTATCTGCTGTATTCTACCAGTGTAATCTTTTTTCTAAATAAATGGATAGTTTTCTCAGTCGGTCATCTGTTGTAATGGGCGTTTTGCTCATTCTTTTTGGTATTGTGGTTTTCAATTTGCAGTATTTTTCTCTATGCACTTTTGGAGACGGTGGACATAAAGTGAAAATCGCCCTAACTGCTTCATGCTTCTAACTTTTTGTTTGTAAGTTTAGACAGACTATCAAACTGGTTTGAATTAGAAAGTCAGCTTTATTTATTGATCTGAAAACACTATATATTTTTGTTTGAAATGAAATGCCATGGATAATCTGTCTTGGTTTCCTCCTGAGGTCTCCAGAATTTCAAATGCTGACCCTCATCCAACTTGATTCTGTCTTGATGGCACTGGTCATTGACTGGCACTTGTGTGGTGTGATTGTTACTTGACATAGACTGCTTCAGTATCTGAAGAGTTCCGAATGATGTTGAACATTGTGCAAACCTCAGTGAATAACCTGTCTTTTTGACTTTTATGATAGAAGGAAAGTCATTGATTTTCAGCTGAAGATGATTGGACCTAGAATACTACCTTTAGAAATGTCTGCATTGATGTCCTGTGATTGAGATGATTGACCTCTAACAACAAGTACATTTCCTTGTGCTCTTCTTCCTTGATGGTAAAGTGGGCAGTATGCAGTGATCATGAGTGTATACAAGTTCTGCTGCTGCTCATGCCCACAGTGCCTCATGGCTGTCCAGACTTAAGTTGCAATATGTATTCAGACCTATCCCATTCAGCATGGTCATAATACTAAACAACACAATTGGGATTATCCTGCGTGTGAAGTTTTGATTTTGTCTCTAGAAGTACTGTGCAGAGGTTACTCTTACCACTGTTATTGTGGCCAGATGCATCTAAGGCAAGTAGATTGGTGAGAATCAGGTCACGTAGATATTTCCGTCTTGTTCCCTCACGTGCATACCTGATGTAGCAGCTGTATCCTTCAGGACCTGGCCACCTTGCCATCTCAGTCAGTCAGCCAGTGGTGCTACTCAGCCATTTTCAATGATGGATATTGAAGACCTGAATGCAGACTACATTATGTGCTCTTCTCAACCCAAGTGGTGTTCAACAGGGCGATGAATTGTTTTGTTAGCTGGTGTAGGAGATGATGGGTAATAATCAGGAGGGTTCCTTCCCCATTTTTGACATGATGCCATGAAACTTCATGTGGTCCAGAAATGCCATAGTCCAGAGGCTGGTCACTCATGAGAGTGAGACTACTTTGGGTGAGTTTAACCGGAAGGTCACCATGCCTGTGGTGAGGGGTGAGGTTGAGAAAGTGGGATCTTCATAGTAACGTCAACCAGAGTGGGAATTGAATCCACATTATTAGTGTTACTTTTCTTCACAAATCAACCTTTTAGCCAACTGATCTAATCAACCCCAGATGATGTTGAAATCTCCTAAGTCAACTGTATGCCAACTTTATTCCTTTGCTGACTTCTTAAAATTCTTTTATCTTCAAGGAAAACCCTAAAGCTTTCTATAGGTATGTCAGGAATAAAAGAATGACTAGAGTAAGATTGGGGCCGGTCAAGGACAGTAGTGGGAAGTTGTGCGTGGAGTCCGAAGAGATAGGAGAGGTGCTAAATGAATATTTTTCGTCAGTATTCACACAGGAAAAAGACCATGTAGTCGAGGAGAATACTGAGATACAGTCTATTAGACTAGACGGGATTGAGGTTCATAAGGAGGAGGTGTTAGCAATTCTGGAAGGTGTGAAAATAGATAAGTCCCCTGGGCCGGATGGGATTTATCCTAGGATTCTCTGGGAAGCTAGAGAGGAGATTGCAGAGCCTTTGCCTTTGATCTTTATGTCGTCATTGTCTTCAGGAATAGTGCCAGAAGACTGGAGACTAGCAAATGTTGTCCCCTTGTTCAAGAAGGGGAGTAGAGACAACCCTGGTAATTATAGACCAGTGAGCCTTACTTCGGTTGTGGGTAAAGTGTTGGAAAGGATTATAAGAGATAGGATTTATAATCATCTAGAAAGGAATAATTTGATTAGGGATAGTCAACATGGTTTTGTGAAGGGTAGGTCGTGCCTCACGAACCTTATTGAGTTCTTTGAGAAGGTGACCAAACAGGTGGACGAGGGTAAAGCGGTTGATGTGGTGTATATGGATTTCAGTAAAGCGTTTGATAAGGTTCCCCATGGTAGGCTATTGCAGAAAATACGGAGGCATGGGATTGAGGGTGATTTAGCGGTTTAGATCAGAAATTGGCTAGCTGTAAGAAGACAGAGGGTGGTGGTTGATGGGAAATGTTCATCCTGGAGTTCAGTTACTAATGGTGTACCTCAAGGATCTGTTTTGGGGCCACTGCTGTTTGTCATTTTTATAAATGACCTGGATGAGGGCGTAGAAGGATGGGTTAGTAAATTTGCGGATGACACCAAAGTCGGTGGAGTTGTGGATAGTGCGGAAGGATGTTGCAGGTTACAGAGAGACATAGATAAGCTGCAGAGCTGGGCTGAGAGGTGGCAAATGGAGTTTAATGCGGAAAAGTGTGAGGTGATTCACTTTGGAAGGAGTAACAGGAATACAGAGTACTGGGCTAATGGTAAGATTCTTGGTAGTGTGGATGAGCAGAAAGATCTCGGTGTCCATGTGCATAGATCACTGAAAGTTGCCACCCAGGTTGATAGCGTTGTTAAGAAGGCGTACGGTATGTTAGGTTTTATTGGTAGAGGGATTGAGTTTCGGAGCCATGAGGTCATGTTGCAGCTGTACAAAACTCTGGTGCGGCCGCATTTGGAGTATTGCGTACAGTTCTGGTCACCGCATTATAGGAAGGATGTGGAAGCATTGGAAAGGGTGCAGAGGAGATTTACCAGGATGTTGCCTGGTATGGAGGGAAGGTCTTATGAGGAAAGGCTGAGGGTCTTGAGGCTGTTTTCGTTAGAGAGAAGAAGGTTAAGAGGTGACTTGATAGAGACATACAAGATGATCAGAGGATTAGATAGGGTGGACAGTGGGAGCCTTTTTCCTCGGATGGTGATGGCTAGCACGAGGGGACATAGCTTTAAATTGAGGGGTGATAGATATAGGACAGATGTCAGAGGTAGGTTCTTTACTCAGAGAGTAGTAAGGGCATGGAATGCCCTGCCTGCAAAAATAGTAGACTCGCCAACTTTAAGGGCATTTAAATGGTCATTGGATAAACATATGGATGATAATGGAATAGTTCAGGTTAGATGGGCTTCAGATTGGTTTCACAGATCGGCGCAACATCGAGGGCCGAAGGGCCTGTACTGCGCTGTAATGTTCTATGTTCTATTGTCCTTGCAGTCTCCCTGTACCCATGCCCTCCAAACTCCATCTTCCCTCACAGTCTCCTTTTGGCCCATTTTTCCCCCCTTGCAGTCCAGCTACCTTCTACTCCCTTTGCAATCTTCTCCTTACATTCCACTCCGTTGCAACCTGTTCTCTCCCATTTTCTTGCAGCCTCCTTTGAGCCCCCTCTCCCTTTGCAACAACAAGTGAAGCTGATTTGGTTTGACTTGTGACCACCTATTAATTTCAAAGTCCTCTGTCTGCCATTAACCATGTGCTTGGTCGTCAGGTAGCTGAATAGCTTGGGCTATAAATGAGGCAGTGAGAAGCTGTTCAGTCTAGAAGAGAAACCGGCAGGTCTTCAATGGCCAAAAGTGCTCGCAGTTCTCTGCAGTAAACCACTTCAAACAGAAATAAAATCAACTTGTCCTTCCTTCAGCAGATGCTGCAAGTCATGCTTTTGAGCTAAATAAATCCGATGCCTTTAATAAGTGAACCAGCCACCATGTACATCTTGCAAACCAGATTTTATGATGACTTTATGAATAATGAGATTTGATTCCTAGCATGCTACCCCATTGAGTTATGTTATTCTCTTGCCTCCCGTGCCCCAATTCACTTTGCTCTTTTACTGTCTGTCTTGGCTTCAGCCCCTGGATCTGATTGTCCTCACCCCAGTCCCCACGAGCTTGGGAGTCCCACTTAGAGCTGTCAGCTCCTGGCCATCTAGAACCCCGGTTCTCAAACCTCTAAACTTAGCTCTTGATCCCTATCCCACAGGAGCATCTACCTCAGTGCTGGCCATTACTTGATTAACTCTTTTCTGCTCCTATCTCTCACATTTGCTCTTCTACTTGGGGAAGAGAACTGTGCCAGTTGCCTCCATATCTCCTCATTAGGGTGACCAAATTTTAGAGAAGTGTAAAGTTAATAGGGTAATGATGGGATTTCAGTTTCTCCAGCATTAACTGGAGTAGTCATCGTATAAAATGCATTCAGGATAATTTTAAGTCAGTATGTCGGTGATCCTACAAGGGAGGAGGTGGTCTTTGACTTAATTTCAGGTAATGAAGCAGTCCAATTGGTTGAAGTATCAGTGGGAATGAGGACATGCAAGTTTTCTTCTTGGTGGAGGGATCAGTAGATGTGGCATAGATTTATGATAAGGGGCAGGAGGTTTAAAGGGAATACGAGAACTATTTTTTCCACTCAGGGTAGTAGGATTCTGAAACTCACTGCCTAAAGACATGATAGAGGCATGCAAAACTATGTGCCAAGTGCTAGAAAATGGGATTAGAGTAGCTGGTTGTTACTGCCTTCACAGAATTGATTGGCTGAAGGGCCTTTTCCTGTGCTGTAGATCTCTATGACTGAATTTTCCCATGGGATGTGAGGACTTTCAGGGTTGGATCTGTCTACCACCTCCTTGTATTTTGAACATTATTGTTGAAGTGTGTATTTTTTTTAAAAAGGCATTTGTTGCTATCTTGTGCCTGTGGAGCCATGTTGATTTAAATACTGTTGTAATGTAGGAAATCAATAATTTCCTTGTGTGTAGTGGCTTTAAGTTTAATGGAGCAGTGAGATTATTGGTGATAACTTTTTTTAACATAAAGTACTGTTACTAAGTGATTGATTACATAACCTAATGAAGGAGTAAGTGAGACTGAAAAAGAAGCCACTGAAATATGACAGTCTAAAAAAATCAAAACATAGCCCTCAAAAAATCCTAAGGGGAGCCTC